CTTCACCAGTGCTGGGCATCCATCCCTACGTTTGGTGTGCTGGGGTGTTAATAACTTGTAGCTACAAAGTTCTTCAGAGGATCCCCTATGGGCCTCCATAGTTGCAAGGCCTCCCCAAGTGCTCAGGAGTTTACTCCTGAACCTGCACCCATAAGCTGATGACTAACTAAGGTTCAGGTACAAAAGCCCAGCTTCTTTTAACTCTGGATAAAATCTGGGCTGCAATTCCTACTTCAGAGATTTCCAGGGATCAGGCTGAGGCTGGTCTTCAACTGAAATCAGACCCTTGCTTAGCTTCTTCTTCCCTAGTCTGATTCTCAAAATTTACCATTTTTTGGAGATGTCCCTGGTAGTCCAGTGGTTAAGACTCTGAGCTCCCGGTGCAGGGGGCACGGTTCTGATCCCTAGTTGGGGAAATAAGATCACACATACAGAGTGACCTTGAAAATAAGAACCTGAAAATTCTTTGTTGATAAATCACTTGAACTTGAATCTTTGGCTCACTGTCTGCTTCTGGGAGAAGCTGACTAAAGCCAGTTATCTGCCTAAGTGGCAGAAGTCAGGATCTGAACCCAAGGCCACCTGACTCAAGCACATGTAATTTTAACCAGCACATGTTCCCAGTTTATTGGGGTGGGCTTGTTGGCAAGTTAGTCTACCCAGATGTTAAAGCTATATAATCGCATTTCTTATTCTACCACACACAAGGCTGTTTCTTTTCATCCTGAGTATATGTGTTCTTGACTCCCTTGATAGAAATTCTTCACAGAAGAGAAAGTCATGGTAAGACAAGGTGTCAAGCTTATTTAAAACCAGATAACCGAAAACAAGAATATATAGACATTTCTTTGCTTCCTCTCCTCCCCAAACTAAATAAAAATAAAGGAAATAGCGACACTCTTCTTTACTACTACCATGAGGGAAACAGGTAACTAAATGGAGAAATAACGTTCCATGGGCTCCGTCCAGAGTATCAGCAACAGTTAAGAGTGTCATAAGCTGTCATGACCTCTATAGAGAAGCAGCAGTGTGTGTGTGTGTGTGTGTGTGTGTGTGTGTGTGTGTGTGTGAGCCACACTGTCGTCATTGTGCTGAGTTCTGCCTTCTGGTGTTGAATGCAGGAGCGGTTACCCCCCTAGGCCCTCACCACCCCTTAGCCTTAGTCCAGTTCCTGAAACTTGAGTCAGGGTGACTACAACTACCCACGCATTGCCTTTACAGAAAATCCTCTGGGCTTGACTGTTGGTTGCCCTTCTCTATTGTGGGGTCCTTGAGTTTGTCTGGTGTTAAAATTCACAGGAGGCATAGGGACATGTACCCTCAAAGCAGCCTTAATATCAAAGACATTTCTGTGAAAGGGGCCCTTCTTCATTACTACAAAACTTGTTTATTTTTCTAATTAACGAGGGATAAGGTGGTCCACTAGGGAATTTTGGCTTGGAGTTCCAGCATTTAAATACATATGCTAAGTGAGAGGCTTGAAAGACCTTGGATTAATCCAGTTCTTGTGACATCTGGGGCTGGCGTGGGGGTGGGAATGGCTAGTTTAAGTGCTGACTTTGGAAAGAGCCATTCTGTTGAAGTTTGGAGCCTGGAGCTCAGGTCACAGCTGCAGGCTTGAAGTATTTCACAGAGCTACACTCAGTTGAAAAGTTGACAGTCCATCCATTGATGTTACTTGATATATACTCTCATCCCTCTATTATACCTTTCCTTCTCTCCTCCTCAACAAACAGCATCTTGTATTTTATTTGAAACTTCACATACAGACTTTAAGGCGCAGTCTATTTTTCATTTTCGGGAAGAATAAGCCCCAATGAGGTCTTCCTCAGTAACACGGCAGTAATGAATTCACCTGCAATGCAGGAGATGTGACTTCAATCCCTGGGTCGGGAAGATCCCCTGGAGACAGAAATGGCAACCCACTCCTGTACTCTTACCTGGGAAATTCCATGGACAGAAGAGCCTGGCGGGCTACAGTCCATGGGGCCACAAAGAGTAAGATATGACTTAGCAACTAAAATAACAACGAGAAAGAACAAACCCCAATTAGACCCTTATTGGGGGCCGGGTTAGGTACAGAAAACACCTCCCTCATCCATGCTCCTTTTAGGTTAGACTGAATGTAGTTCTTTTCCTCCTCATGGATAGCAGAGTGGTCTATTACATTTCGAAGCAAGCATATTTGTAGAAATGCTACAAATTTGGTACCTCTGCTCTGCAAAGTTTTCTATAGCAGATATTGGCACAAAAGTGGGGAGGAACTCACCAGGAAATACTAAGAGCATTAATGACTCTAGAGTTACAGGCCACAGTCTGACAACTTCCCTTTTTGTTTCCTTCTTCACCCCATGTCCTCCCTTCTCCAGTCTGAAGATACAGATTCATCAAACTCCCCTGGTGTGGGGATGGTTAACGATCAGTCTGATCTTGGGAGAAACTAGACTTTGCTACATTTTCAGCAGAGAACCCCAGTAAGATTTCTAAAATTTACCCTCCAATTTATGGAACTGAGAAATATTTACACCATCTCTTGACTGATTGATTGGAGCACTGAAGTCTTGCAGAAGAGAAACTTCCTTTCATTGTGATATCACTGTGCTCTGTAATAGATGGTGTTCAGGTCTGATTTTGTCTCCTCTCTCCCCTTCCATTTTATTTCCATTTATTGGAGAGAAGAGTCTCTTGAACAAAATGTGTGTTATGATCTTATCACCTCTGAACACACTGTAGTCTTTTTAGGGCCCAGGACACCTGTCTCCTGGGCATGGTAGATGCATGTTTACATAATAGAAACCAAAAAAATAGAGAATGGGAAAGTCTTCTGGCTTAAAATTCACTTGGGAGTTTGATATAGTATCAACTGCCCATATAATCCCAACTGCCTCCAGAAGTTAGATTTCTACCTCAGCTCAAAGAATATACACACATATAGAGACTGAGCAAAATCCAGAAGTGGAAAAACTTGGTTTGCCTCCCACAACCCCTCCACTTCCCAGCAAGTGTCCTGCTCTTCATTTCCCTTCATTTCTTCCTGCTGCCTGCAAACCCATCAATTCTAGTATCAGGTATGGTTGGATTTGCAGCTCAGTGTCAATGGATTTAGTTCAACATGTTAATTTTTCCTGTATTTGTCTTATCTTCAATTAGGGAAGGAAAGGTTCTGCCCTCTTAAAGACATTGTGGGGAACCTGGGAGGTACTGAGGACTCAGAAAGGAAACTTCTTCAGGAACCAAGAGAAACACCATCTGAAAATGCCTCAGCTAACAAAACTGAGCTTAGGACATCTGCTTTTGGCCCATTCTCATTAACCACCATGTCCCTAGAGACTGGTTTTCCTCCTAATATGGTGAAATATGCCAAAAGCAAGTAAATTCTCCTGTGGGATTTAAAGGATTTAACTGAATCACATGGAAAGTTACCAGATCTTCTCAATGATTTATGTGGTAGAGGCATGGTTCTATTTGGATGAACTTCTTGCTGTATCACAGGAAAAAGAAAGCATTCAATATATATTCACCAAGAGGTTCCAAGGGCCTTGCCTTGAAAAAAGACATATTTTGTTCTAAAAGTTAGCTTAGAAATGCATAAAAAGAAGTCACATTTTTATACTGAATTATCACATTGACTTTTTTTCCCCATTGGTACTATAAAGTCACTTTTCTTGTTAGTGCATCATTTAATTGCTCATGAATTTTAAAAAGGTGTATAAGTGTGATCTTAATCTAAGTGTTAACACCTTGGGTGGAAATGTGGATTCCCTCAAATTTATCCTAAACACTTAAAACACATGAGAAAAATTTTAGAAGCTGAAAACCACATGGGGATGCTGGGTCCCAGATACATGCCCTTGTGCCCTCAAAAATCTACAGCATCTCTTAAAAGGGATTATTTCTATTCCTTGCCCTGCTTTAAAATGGAACAGCAGTAATGAATTCTGTTGGGTTCTGTTTGCATCTCAGTGACTCTAGAAAAGCCTGCAGGAAGTATACTCCTCAATCATACATTTAGTTGCCTTGTACCTCAAAGACTACAGATAGTGTGTGGTATTTTTCAACAACTACAGCAAAAATTGCTAGAAAATCAGGAAAAAAGCATACAACTTTTTTTTTTTTCAAAGGTGTATTCAACTGGAGAGGCAAGAATTATTAAATAGTCTTACATAAAAATAATAATAATAGTAATAAAAAGAATGACCTGTTTTTGCAAAGAATAGATTTGGCAGAGGAGGGATCCAGATGGAATTCGAGTAATTACGGTATGCTCTGCAGTCAGCATGCGCCTCACGTTTCAGAAGTGTTGGGAAAGTTACGGGGTCACCCGGATGTGTCCATCTAACAAGTTCCTGTTGACACAGTATCTTTCACACCATCTGAAAACCAGCAGTGGTCTTGGGAGGAAATTTGGGTGCTTATTTGACAAACCTCGGTTTAGAAATGAAGTTTGTAAAATACATTTGACCTTTGGAACAAGGTAGGGGCTAAGGGAACTGACACTGTGCCCAATCGAAAATGTTAGTATAATTTATAGCCAGCAGTCAACATATACATGATTCCTCTATCCATATACGTGGTCCCATATCCATGGATTCAACCAACTGCAGATTGTGTAGTGCTGAAGAATTTACTCATGGAAAAAAATCTTTGTATAAGTGGACCCATGTAGTTCAGACCCATGCAGTTCAAACCTGTGATTTCCAAAGGTCATCTGTATTAGGTTTAGAGATCATTTTGAGAAATTGGTTCAAGACAAGCAAAAAGGCACATACCTATCATATACACATCACTTTCCATTCCAGGGTTCTCAAAACTCCAGGTCTAGAACATCATTATGGGAGAATTTTTATTTTAAATATATCTATGATAGACAGGAGGAAAGAAATAGGATTCTAACCTTGGGCAGAGATATAATTCCTTTAACTAGTGACCAATTAATCCAACTCATCAGAATAACATTTGCCCTCACTTTTAAGTGGTTTATAAACAAGAACCACAGGAAATGGCATTGCTAGGAAATTTTCAGAACTGGAAACAGAATCAAATTGGCTCCAGAAACAAACAAATATAACATACACCAAATTCAAGTTTTAAATGCTATTCAAGCCAGGGAGACAAAGAAGGAAATGCTGATTACTTGGGAGAGAAATGGTGGGAAGGGAAGACCAGATGTTCAATTTTCAACATCAATGTTCCTGAAGCCAAGAATATATTGCTGACCCAGGCGTGATAAAATGTGCAGGGATTTCCAGCAATCCACAGTCAGCTGACCTGTTTAAGGAGAAAAACAACAATTGAAAAATAATAAAGTTAGGCTGTAAATATAAATTTCTTATCTGGGATTCTGGTTATTTATACCTCAGAATAAATAGCTGCATAAGGATCTTATTGTTTCTCCCTGGAACAAGCTTCAAGGCCAGGGAATGCCTTGACTTCATAAGGTTATCAGAAGAAAATGTTGTCTTTTTGTGAGATAGACTGACATGGATTTTATTCAATAGCCAATCTGACATTGATCAAGATGCTATCAATTATATAAAAAACAAATAGAAATCTTCATCTTATGGCTGGATATGTGGCAGTAATGTTCTCCTTCCAAAAAAAATTGATGGAATTGAATGTTGTTGGTTTTTTTTTTTTTTTTTTTTTTTTTTGCTTTTCATTGGAACCATTTTACAAGTTTTTTGTTGCTGTTGAAATAAAATGATTTTACCAATAACACTGAGTGAGCTGTACATTGCCTTCATCAGCTGACATTCTGTAGGTTTGGTCACCTAAAGATACTGTTTAAAACTTTAGAATCTGTCCACTTTCCTTTTGACCTCGCAATTACCAAATAGAAGAAAAATGGCTTTTCTAGGGACATGAATCCAATAGAAACTCTGCAAGATTGGAATCATTTAATTTTTGGAGGTTGCGTTCAATCCAAAAGCCTTCTGTGGTTTGTGTACCCCAAGAATGATTTTCTATCCAAAGCATATTTGAATAGAGCAATGGATAAAAGCATATCCTGTGTTTCCAAGAAACCTAATCTGGTCCAGCAGTGGAGAGTCTATAATCTTTTCTTCCACCATTCTTTACAAAACAGGCTGGTAGAAAGTTCGTTTGGAAGCTTGTCTACACGAAGAAAATATCATTGCATTAACTAAGTCTCACAGCACAAATTATCTATTTCATGTCAGGCTTAAAAAATTACATCAAATACATATATTTTCTTTTTTATCGAAATATACAGTTTATGTTTTTCAATACCAAAGAGAGAGAGAAAGTAGATTATTTTCATCAGAAGTAATTCTGCAGTTTTTCCATTTCCCTCAACTCAAGATAGACAAAAATATTTTTGCTATTTTCTTAGAAAGAATGACCTCAATATCAACTGTCTTGTTCCAGATACAACTTTAGCAACCTCAGTAAATACATGGTATCTTTGTGTTGAATCTAGTTGTTGGTTTAAACATTTTATAATCCAAATACATCCCAAATACATCTAAAGTTTGAAAGTGAAAGTGTTAGTCACTTAGTCGCTCTTTCAGCCCCACGGACTATAGTCCGCCAGGCTTCTCTGTCTGTGGGATTCTCCAGGCAAGAATACTGGAGTGAGTAGCCATTCCCTTCTCCAGGGGATCTTCCCAACCCAGGGACTGAATCCGGGTCTCCTGAATTGCAGGCAGATTCTTTATCTCTGAGCCACTAGGGAAACCTTCTAAAGCTTAGGTCTATTTATTTCTACCTTAACCTGCTCTGCCTTTCCTCCAAATTTAAGTCTTATCTGACACGTTAAACAAAAATGTTAGTGATCATACGGGACTTAAAGATTTCAACATGGACTTCAAGGTGATAAATACTTGTATTAGTTTTGTTCTATACCCTAAATTGGGCTAGTTCCTGATTGAAGAGAGTGTTTGCTAACCATTTGAAAGACTCTAGGGAATTCCCTGGTGGTCCAGTGTTTAGGACTCTGAGCTTCCACTGCAGAAGGTATGGTGTGCCCCCTTCTCTTGGGAAACGTTAAGTAACAAAAATCTTCTTTCAATGGTGTTATCCTCTCTGTATCATCACTCAGTCACCACCCTAAATTAAAAGCTTAGGGGTACACATTTGACACCCACATTGTCTCCAGTTCAAGAGAAGTGTCCTGAACAGTGTAAACCAATGAGACCATGGCTCCTCCTTGGCATCTACATTTGTTTAAGAGAGGGCATAAGAATGAGTTGACCTAGTCATACAAGCAGGAATGATTTGCATCCCATGTTGGGGGAAAAAATAGCATTTTTTTCTTTCTCCTGCTGAGTGTGAATTAGAAATTGTATGAACACACACTGCTATAGGCAGCTGTCTTGTAAGTAAGTAAGTGTTAGTTGCTGAGTCGTGTCCAAGACTCTTTACAACCCCATGAACTATAACTCTCCAGGCTCCTCTGTCCATGAAATTCTCCAGGCAAGAATACAAAAGTGGGTTGCCATTTCCTTCTTGCCATCTTGTAACCAAAAGGCAAAACAGCTGTGGGACAAAACCTCTGCTGAAAGTCAGAAGAGCTGAGGGCGGGAGCTTAGAGCCTAACCGATCATCAGTGTTCAGTGTGTGCTGACTGAGCTACAGCCTGGGTTCTGTTGAGTTGGAGAGGAACCCTCATTTGAATCTGCACCAAAAGGACTCTGGGGCATTGGCCAGTGAGGATTGGAAGGGCTACTCTATTTCCCGTATATTGTGTAAGGAAAGTGCAGTTTTATCATGTGATCAGCCTTAAGTGATTGTTCTCCTTAAAACCAAAACTCAAGTACAACTGGGACACTGGCCTCTGTAATCACTGCCTGTAGTCATAATTCATTTCTATCAAAAATACTGCCTTTTCTGCCAAATTGTGGAAATTACAATCTTGAAGAGTCTGGCCTAAAGAAGCATTTTCTCAAACAGAGATAGTAGTTTTACTGTGAATTTTGCCTATGATATTATACAACAGCAACAGTCAAAATCATGCTTCTGGTCATAGAGTATCCTTTAAGTGTCTGCTAGCACCACTGCAAGGTGACTTCCAATTCAAGCTCTCTTTGGGGGCTGGGATAACAGAGATGGAAATTTTTGCTTCTGGCTAATGCTTAGCATATTAGATTTAAGCTTCCAAGCATTCCTATGAATACAGTTTTGCCAAAATGCAGGCATGCACACATGAATACACATACACAGACACACTTTTTTTTTTTTGAGAAAACAAGCCCCAAAAAACCACATAAGGGAGGAAGAAGCACACGGTGACAAAGCATGAAGTCTTGCTTTCTTCTTGCCTCTTAAAAGCAACAATCTTGTTTGAAGATGTGGGATGAGAACAGGGAGTCCATCCAAAGTGATGCCCCCCCCCCCTTTTTCTGCTGGAGTTTTGAAATTCAGAGACTAACATTTAAAGTTTGGATAAACGGCTAAAATTGCATGCTTTTGAGTCATAGGACTGATTCTTGCGTGATTTTGTTGATGATCTGGTTCATCTCTTAACAAGACTTTTTTCAGCCCTTCCCTCTGGGCAGGTTTTGGTACTCCCCAGCAGGATCCAGGAAAGTCTCCACAGTCAAATGCCAGCCTGGGTTCTGTACTAGACTCTAGCCCCTCTGTCATCATTCGGGGCCTGAGAAGAAGTCCAAGTCCCAGTTAGCGTTAAACGTAAAATCCTGTCTGCTGGTACAATTCATTAAAAGACAATTTGCCTATGATAGCTACTTAATGTGTCTGCAGTATATTTTCACCATAGACAAAATCAATAGAGGCAATCAATAAAAAGAATTATCACAATTTCCTGACAACTCCATGGTGGCAGAAGCTGGGAAGCCACAGGGGAGGGGTGGGTGACTTTGCAGGGTTGCCCTTGGGGAGTGGCTGTCTCCCAGGCACTGGCAGGCGGTCTAGACGGGTCATCTCCAAGTGCCAGCCTCAGGGCTCCCAAGACAGCAGCCCACGGTCCCCTCTCTATTTATCCAGTAGACCATTACCTTGATCTCCTACTGAACACCCTGGCTCCCAGCCCTTCCCTGGGTGGAGACGGGATGGGGTGAGGCCCCGAATCTGGACTGTTTTGATTTTCATTCTTACTAACTTCAACCAGGAAACTCTTTAGAATGAGGGTAGCCAATCGCTGACTCAGGCTGAGGGAGGTTGCTCTGTGCAGTTACAGCAGAACAGACATATTCTTTCACTCCTGAGTTCTCCTGATTGTGTGTTTGTCTTCACCTATTTTATCCAAGCACAAAAGTGTTAAGCAGTCTTACAATCTAATATAAACGGAAGAGGAAATCAAGGTCCTGGGCCAGGACATGCAGGACCATTTGGTGGCTATAACTGAGTGGCACAAAAAGACATGAAGGGAAAAAAAAAACAAACACCAAAACTCTAAAAGTATTCCCTACAGGTTCTTGGTGAAGAGGAAAAACACACCTGTTCCTCAGCTATGTATGCCTTTTTTTGTTCCTGCTCACAGAGCCAAGTTTATTCAGGCAGTAAAGATGTCCAGTTGTCAGGGAAAGTCATCCTTTTCCAGGTAACCCTGCAGAAAGCCTGTCATGGATTTCAGTTTCCATTTGCTTGGGGATGCTAACCTAAGCCCCTTTTGCATAGGAGGTGGTGTATTCAGACCAGTGACTTGTAAGGGGAAGTCTCCCAAGATAACGGGACAGAATCTCCTCTGGGGAGAGCCATTAGAGTTACTCTTTCCTTCTTCTTGTGACCTTAGTGTGGAAGCTCCATTGGTGGTGTTTTTGCCACCATCTTGCCATATTGGAGCTTGGAGGCAAGGTCAGAAGAACTGCAAAGTTACAGAACCAGACCCTCTGGAACTTCTCTCTAGGTTTCTGGTTATGTGAGAGAATCAAATACTTTGATTATTCAAGACAACACTGGGAATTCTGTTCATTGCAGCTGGCCATAACCTACTGATACAGATAGGTCCTCTCATTGTTTCTATCGTGTAGATAGGGACAGTTGAGGCTTCCCAGAGTGACACATTAGTGAGTAGCACTGCTTGGGCTGAAATCATCCTCTTTTTGACTCCAGACTCAGAACACTTACTCCCCCTCAAAGTAATTCTATAATTTCAGCTGAGATCCTTGTCAAAAATGCAGATTGCTCTGCTTCAATCCAAAAGATTCCTTTCAGTAACTCTGAGGTCAGGTAGTAGGAAACTCCATAAAGCCAGCAGTACAGGTGGTTCTGGTGCAAAGGCTTCCTGGATCCCTTTTAAGACTCACTGCCTATGTTATCCAACTCCTCAACCAAGTTCATTTCTTTCCAAAGCCCACTCTTCATCCCATCACTTTGGGCTGACCTCACCATAGCATCCACACCTCCCCTCCTATCCATCACCCTCAACATGAAAATAATTTCAAACATGGGTCTAGCTTCACAAAAAACATCAGGTCCCAGTTATTTGGGATTGGAGGCTGAAAAGTGAGAACAATTAGGAAGGAGGAGTGAGACAGTCTCCTCTCTCCTTAAGCAGTATTTTTTTCACTTGTAAACTGGACATCCTGGTGGTCACAGATTGAAATAACCAGCTCTAAGCCTTACTTAGTCAGCCAGCTAGCCAGCTTATTACTTGGATGTCAACTCCTTGAACCACAGAGAAACAAAATGATCACAAGTCTTTTGGGGGAACATGTAGAGAAGGAGTGGGGAGAATAATGCACACATTCATTTTTGTCTCCAAAGAAACCCATGTGGTTCACTGTTATTCAGCGTAGATCAGTCTCTGGCTTTGCCTGAGAAACACAGTCCAAACTCAATATTGTAGGAAGCTGTGAAACCAAACTTTTGAAATTTTCTCAAGAATTTCATTTTTAATAATAAAAAAAATCACCAAGCCCATGTGTCCCATAAAAATAAATGAGTGTTTTCACTCTTGAACCAATAAAGCTGATGAAAGTTGGAAGCCACATGACGCTCGCTGTGTAGCTCATCCAGGCTATGCAAGAGCTTGGAGACTCAGTCATTTTGTGTTTTGCAAATGGGGGAAACTGAGGCAGTAACAGGTCTGAATCCTGGAGCGTGACCTTCCAAAAGTTGCCTGCCGGCTGTTCTATTCTGGAAGAGCAGTTCTCCAGAGAGTTGGAGAAAAGCCCAGATTCCCTAGCATGGCAGGTCCCAGCCTAGCCAGCAAGCTAACTGTGTTTCTGGCTGAGTCCTTCTTGCACCCAATGGCCTGTTGCAGGGAGTCCTGTTGCATCATGCCTTTATGCATGCTGCCCCTTCTCACTGGAATCCTCTCCTGCTTCTTCCCACACAGCCAGCGCCCACTCGCCCATCACTCACTCATCACCAGAAGCTGCTAGTCCACCTGTGTGACTGCACTGTTGGGACCTACTGCAACACCTGGCTACTCGATGACATTTACGTGCTCTCATGTGTCAGGCCATCCCACCACCTCCCAACGTAACATATATGAAGCATCTCAAAGACTCGATCCTGTTTAATTTATCTTTATGTTTCCAGGACAGGCCACATAGAACAGATGCCCATTAAATGCTAGTTGAAGGCATAAGTCAATGAAACAATGTAGACACGGGGTAATGTGAGCAAAAAGATGACACTTTCAACCTCTCAAAGAAGTCAGAGGATGAAACGGGAAGGATGCAGCTCATTCAGCTTTCTGGCTAGCCTTTTCCCAGGGGCTGCGTCTCCTCTCTTGGTCTATGGAATGTAAACACTCAGATTCCTTTCACTGATAAATAACTTCTTCCATTAAAAAAAAAAAGAAAGGAAAACTGACAGTTACTTGGGGGAATGGTTTCTGCTAGGTCGCCAGGGAACATGTTTGTGGCTGTGATGGGTATTTGGGCAATGGCACTACAGGCAAGGCTGGGATCACTTAAGGCCTACCCCATTTGTGGGGAGACTTTTTTTTAAAGCTTTTTCTTCTCTTGGGAGGAAGTCACACCCAGCAGCCACTGTCACGCTATGCTCAGTTTAGTCCTGAATGAGAAAACCCAGGGTTTTAGCAAATCACCCCTCTAGCTCCTTCAGTACAAAGGCTGCGAACTGAGTAACAGACCTACTACGGTGAGAGGGGTTTTCCCTCCCCACCAGGGGGCTGGAGTCAGGCCAGTCTCAAGTATTTATCCAGGCCCCCAGGCAAGGCGGCCCACTGTGATCCAGGGCTGCCCCCAGCCTAACCTGGGCTGTCCCGCAGCCTTTCCCGTCAAGGCTCCATAGATTGTGCTATCTCTAAGCCACATCTTCTCACAACAGGTTCAGGTGTTTGAATTTTCCGGGTGGGAGACTGGGAAATTGGCAATGGGTATTGATGGGAAAAGCTCAGAGATGGAGTTGGAGAGAAAGTTCTGCAGAGTGAACTTTGTCCCCTTAATTGAGGTATTCTGGTACCAAAGAAGAAAAGAAGGGGATAAGGGAGGGAATTAGCCTTCATTAAGGGCCTGGTCTGGTGGTGCTGTTTAATATGTGCTATTTGACTTAAAAATGCCCAAGTACCCTTGAGAACCATATTGTCTAAATATCTATCTACTATCCACTGTACACATACGGCAAAACTGAGGGTAATAGATCTATGGTCAGGATGGGAATATGGTCCATCTGGGGCCCAGCCATGAACCAAGTATAAGCAGTAGGAAATTTATTTTTAAAAAATAAAAAAGAGTTACCCCTGAATAGTTTAAAATCAGGCCAGTTTGCATTTCTCGAGTGGCTTTTCTCTGTCAGGTGTCATTATTTTTAGTCCTTATAAAGCCTCCATTTTGTAGATGAGGAAACTGAGACTCAGAGTGGTCATGCCACCTGTCCAAAGTCAGATGATGAAAGACTTGTGGAGTCAGAACTCAGACCATCTGGAATCCTACATATTGAATTATTACTTCACTAGATTAATTTAATTTAATAAATAAGGCAGGGAGGAACACATATCTGCATAAAGGAACAAGAGACAATGAGAATGAACTTTTAGACTCTGATGAACCATTAGGAAAATAATGTCCTCCCCAAGATGCTGAGTGAGATAGGGTGGAATCCACTTGATTGAGAGGATGAGTAGAAAAAGGAGAGGACTCTTGAGAGTCTCTTGGATGGCAAGGATATCAAACTAGCCTAACCCTAAAGGAAATCAGTCCTGAATATTCTTTGGAAAGAGTGATGCTGAAGCTGAAGCTCCAATACTTTGACCACCTGAAGCAAAGAGCTGACTCATTGGAACAAACTCTGAAGCTGGGAAAGATTGAGGGAAAGAGGAGAATGGGGCGACAGAGGATAAAATGGTTGGATAGTATCACCAAATCAATGGACATGAGTTTGAGCAAACTCTGGGAGATAGTGAAGGAGAGAGCAGCCTGGCATGCTGCAGTCCATGAGGCTGCAAAGAGTTGGACATAACTTAGTGGCTGAACAACATCAAGAGGAAAAGGAGCACAGAACAGATGAAAGCACTTCCTGTTGGAGGTTGGCGCCGCCTAGAGGTCATAGCAACCTCTCACTTTTCCCCCGGATCTAGAGATAAGTGCAGGCTCCCCAAAACTGGGATACTTTAAGCTCCTTTGAGGTGTTTTTAAACAAGCACACAAATTCTTTGATACTCATCCCATTAGGAGGGGAATGTCTATGTACCTATCCTTTGAGCCTACATGGGCTTCTGATTTGCTAATAACTAATAAAATGCAGGAAAAGTGACTGCAAGAGTTTTGAGGCCAGCTCAGAAAGGTGACACAGCTGCCACCTTTTTTTTGTTGTTTGGGTGCTCATCTTTGGAACCCTGAGAAATGTGAGAAATTTGGTTCCCACAGGCTGAGGGACCCTAGATCAAGTGAGGTCCTAACAACAGCCATCAAGTCACCTCCAGCCCTCATGCCCACCCCATCTTTTTATCTTCCCAGTCCAGGCCCCAGTTATCATGGGGCAAAGATAAACTATGACTGCACCCCATCAGAATACAGGTGGACTCCAAGAGCACAATCAAGTCATTTATGACACAAAGTACTGGCATGAAATGTTGGCTAGCAAAAGTAACCAGAACATCAAGTCACTTCATTTATTTTTAGGGGAAGCCCATGTTCCTTTCCTTGCCTCCCATGCCAAGCTCTTACTTTTCAGGGAATTCTGTGGATACAAGCAGTGGCTGTCCTCTGAAGATTGCACAGGCTGATCTCATCCTTTGATGAGGGTGATTAGAAGGGCGAAGATGAGACAGCTGCTTTGCAACTGCCTCTCCTAGCCAGGCTCTTAGGCCCTGCTCTCAGCCCCTCTCCATCCTTCACTTCTAGCTGACAGCTCCTTACTCCCTCCTCTGTGCATCTCCATTTGGATGGCAGATACTTTTCAGTCCATTGAGCCCCTAGGGCAAAAGCTTCCCATCAACTCTGAGCCATTTCTGCCATTACTCCATTCACCACACCCTGGGAGCAGCTATGGACTTTTTGTGAAAGTGGTTGGTATGGAGCTGCCTTAGCAGGTATCTATGTAGCTCAGGTTCTACCCCACTGGCATAATTCCGTGGTTGTTAAAATTCTTCAAAGAACAAGATGAGCTCATTTCTCTTAAATTAGTGCCTGGTAGGAGAGCTCTTACTTTCCCAGGATAAAGTTCATTATGGTACCCCCACTGCAACTCACAATTAGCTACCCTTTCAACTAGGAAACAGAGAATAAAGTTCAGAGTCCAAAAAAGATTTTTCAAGCTCTCTTTTATTTATTTATTTTCTTAGTTGACTCCAGAATCTAGCATACATCCAGCATGGCGTACTGGGAAAATTTTAGAGCTAAATAGATCGATTTCTTCTCTACTTACTGGCTAGTGACCTTATCAAGTTATCTAAATCCTCTGAGTCCCAGTTTCCTTATCTGTAGGATAGAGATACTAATTCTCACCCAAGGTTGCTGTGAAGCTGGATTGAGATAATACTGATAGTCAAGTTGGCTAGAGTTAGGCTAGTTGAAAGATTCTAAGGTCTAAGATATTATTTTTCTTGTAGTTATCATTATTGTTTGTGGTTCCTCTTCAGCAAATCCTACCAACTCTGTTTTCCCACTAAAGTCAAAGTCTAGCCACTTCTCATCACCTCCACAGCCCATCACTTGGTTCAAGCTATGATCGCCTCCATTTGCTTGATTGCAACACACTCCTATCTAGTCTCCTGGTTTCATCCCAGATTGATGCCTTTCCCCCTCCACACAGCAGCCAGAACAATCCTGTTCAATCTTGTCATGTTACTCCCAGGCTCCAAAAGCTTCAATATCTTCCTTTCTTACTCAGAGTAAAGTCTTTTACAGTGACCTTCGAGTCCGTGCAAGACTGGACTCCTACTACCTCTTTGCCATCATCTTTCCCTCTTCTTTCTCCCTCTCTCTCCATTTTTTTTTTTTTTTTTTGCTATTCCTCAAACAGCACACATCTGCCCTAGAACCTCTGCATCTTGTTTCTTGGCCAGAGAATGCATGACTTGTGCCTTTATTTCCTTTCAACCTTGACTCAAATGTCCTCTTCTCATTGAGATCTTCCCTCAGCATCCTATTTAAAACATCCCCAGTGCCTCCTTTCTGATTTGTTTTTTATTACGGTTTATCACCTTTTAACATACAATTGACTTTTTTTTTTTTAAATTTGGCTGCACTAGGTCTTAGTTGCGATGTGCAGGATCTAGTTAGTTCCCTGAGTAGGGATGGAACCTGGGCCCCCTGCATTGGGAGCACAGAGTCTTAATCATTGAACCACCAGAGAAGTTCCAACAATTGGCTTATTTATTTATACTTATGGTCTATTTCTCCTACTAGGATCTCCGCCAACTGAAAGGAGAGATTGCTCTTTGGTTGATTGCTATATCCAGTGCCCCAAATAGCAGCTGTTACATAGTAGACCCTCAAGTATGAGGCTGAATTGGCCATGGACCACAGAAACAACTTACTTGGCTGCTGGTTAATATTTTATTTTAATGAGGATGACTATGTGCATCTACTGCAGCATTAATAGTTTTGTTTGAAAACATTGTCACTGTGCACCGTGTTTGGGTTTGAGAACACACTCATGATGAAAGACTGAAGTAATAATCCAGCTGAAGTTAAAGAATGCCAGACTAATAAGACCTAGGCATTCTGATTGTTGATTCAGAAGGTGCCTAACAATCAAGTGTGGACTCTCATTTTCAGTACCAGATATATAATTTTCAGAGCCTGGTGCAAAATGAACATGCAGAGTGGCCCCTTATTCAAAATGATTAAGAATTTCAAGACTGAGATAGCAGAGCATTAACCGAGTGTGGGCCCTTCTGAGCTCAGGGATCTGTGTCACTGCATGGATTGCACCCACGTGATGCTGGTTCTTCATTTTTTTTACATCTGTATATGTTTTTTGCATCCAATGAAAACAGATCCTTAGAAGGTTTGTTTGCTTAGTGAACTTTAGCTGCCTAATATCTCTTTAAATTAGCCATGAAGCTGGAAGAGTTAAGGGTATCCATTCTGCCTGAGGTCCACTGATATCCAGGCTTCAGAATAATCCACTTCTGTTTTGTATTGGATTATGTGACAGGCTTCATAACCCAGATAACCACGATGGTGTGATCACTCATCTAGAGCCAGACATCCTGGAATGTGAAGTCAGATGGGCTTAGGAAGCATCACTATGAACAAAGCTAGTGCAGGTGATGGAATTCCAGTTGAGCTATTTCAAATCCTAGAAGATGATGCTGTGAAAGTGCTGCACTAAATATGCCAGCAAATTTGGAAAACCCAGCATTAGCCACAGGACTGGAAAAGGTCAGTTTTCATCACAATCCCAAAGAAAGGCAATGCCAAAGAATGTTCGAACTACTGCACAATTGCACTGATCTCACACACTAGCAAAGTAATGCTCAAAATTCTCCAAGCCAGGCTTCAACAGTACATGAACTGAACTTCTAGATGTTCAAGTTGGATTTAGAAAAGGCAGAGGAACCAGAGATCAAATTATCAACATCCGTTGGATCATCAAAAAAGCAAGAGAGTTCCAGAAAAACATCTACTTCTGCTTTATTGACTATGCCAAAGCCTTTGACTGTGTGGATCACAACAAACTGGAAAATTCTTCAAGAGATGGGAATACCAGACCACCTGACCTGCCTCCTGAGAAATGTGTATGCAGGTTAAGAAGCAACAGTTAGAACTGGACATGGAACAACAGACTGGTTCCAAATCAGGAAAGGAGTACATCAAGGTTATATATTGTCATCCGGCTTATTTAACTTATATGCAAAGTATATCATGCAAAATGCCAGGCTGGATGAAACACAGGCTGGAATCAAGATTTCTGGGAGAAATAGCAATAACTTCAGATATGCAGATGACACCACCCTTAAGGCAGAAATCGAAGAACTAAAGAGCCTCTTGATGAAAGTGAACGAAGAGGGTGACAAAGTTGGCTTAAATCTCAACATTCAGAAAACTAAGATCATGGCATCTAGTCCCATCACTTCATGGCAAATAGGTGAGAAAACAATGGAAACAGTGATAGACTTTTATTTTCCTGGGCTCCAAAATCACTGCAGATAGTGACTGCAGCAATGAAATTAAAAGACACTTGCTCCTTGGAAGAAAAGCTATGACCAACCCAGACAGCATATTGAAAAGCAGAGACATTACTTTGTGCACAAAGGTCGTCTAGTCAAAGCTATGGTTTTTCCAGTAGTCATGTATGGATATAAGAGTTGCACTATAAAGAAAGCTGAGCACCAAAGAACTGATGCTTTTGAACTGTGGTGTTGGAGAAGGCTCTTGAGAGTCCCTTGGACCACAAGGAGATCCATCCAGTCAATCTTAAAGGAAATCAGTCCTGAATATTCATTGGTTAAGGACTGATGCTGAAACTCCAATACTTTGGCCACCTAACGTGAAGAACTGACTCATTGGAAGAGATCGTGGTGCTGGGAAAGACTGAAGGCAGGAGGAGAAGGGGATGACAGAGGATGAGATGGTTGCATCACTCCAAATTTTTGTTGTGACGAGACAAAGAACCGAGGAGCACACACTCACCTGACAGTTGGATGGCATCACCGACTTGATGAACATGAGTTTGAGCAAGCTTCGGGGATGGGTGATGGACAGGGAAGCCTGGCATGCAGCAGTCCATGGGGTTGTGAAGAGTCAGTCATGACTGAGCGACTAAACTAACTAACTATATGACAGCCTCAGTTTTAGAGCAGTAAGATTAAAAGATACCCAAAATACTCTCCCTATCCTTTGAACAGGTTATAATAGATTATAAACTCTGAAGACAGTGCTGGATGGTGAGACTGGGAACATCCTGGAGCCAGGTAAAGAGGGATTGCTGCTTCTGAAAGAGATAAGGTCATTTCTGGTCCATCATCACTGTTATCCACTGCCTGAGCAGCAGCACCAATCTCTCCTTTAATGGTTTGCAAATGTGGTCCAGCCTGAGAGACACCTTAGAGAAAGTGAGAATGGAACTAAGACACAGTTGGGGGTGGAGGCAAGGCCCCAGGACTCCAGATGCCATCAGGTAATTTTAGCTGATGACAGTGATCCCTGCTAGAATCCACTGAGGCATTGCTGGCCAGTCAGCTCCTGTCCTTGGTTTTATTTTCTCCATCTTTCAAAGCAGGACTGTGTTATTCAAAGGATATTTTTGAATATTAACCAGACTTTAAATATTGCATTTTGAGGGTTTTTTGTTTTGTTTTGTTTTTTGGAGTCAGGAATTGTAAGAAATGTAAGCCACCGAGCTGCTTTATTTAAACATTTTCTGGGGGAAAAAAATGAAATCTTTTGCATATTTTCATTACAGGTCCATCTTGACATCTTAAATTTTAAAATGGACCTAAGACTATCTCTAGATTTTTAGGTAATTCTAAAAATTATCTAAAAAATTTACCTGAAAATTTACCTAAAAAAATTCACCTAAAAAATTACCTAAAAATTACCTGAGATGATTTGGCCACAAAATATTAAAAAAAAAAATAAATGAAATGAGCAGAAACATTAGTTCAGCATTTCAAAGACAATTTATCACTAAACAAATGCATTTGTATTTATGGAGATCTTTCTTACAAGACTTCAGAGTCTTAAAGATAACTAAAATAAATATTGTATACTATTTAAAAATTTCTGTGTACATTTAAATCTTAAAGTGAACTGGTTTTTGTGGGTCAGAAATACACCATTTGTATAGGAGGACACGTGACGACTCATATTTACAAGTGTAAATTTTCTTCACTTCCAATTTTGTGTTTGATAGGGCTGTTAACATTTCAAAGTAGTTTGGCTTGTGGTGTGATTGTTTAAATGTGTCCATTCAACTGTGGACATCAGTTTTACAGGAAGTGAAATGTCCCGAGGTACTTGACTCTGGAACAGACTAAAGAATTAAGCCAAACACATTTGGAATTATAGGTTTCTCCTCTTTAAGTAAATATTCTCATAATTTAACTTTC